CTCTCTTTTCTATCTGTCTCTCACTCATCTCTCTTTCTCACCACCCATCTCCTCTACCACCTTTACTATTACTACAAATGTCATTCCACTACCACCACTGCTACCACTGTTGCCACTCCACATCTATAACTCACATTACTACCACCACCGCCACCACTCCACTACCACCACCATTACTACTGCCACTACTACTACCATTACGTCTTCTCTACCACCGCCACTCCATCTCCTCTATCACTACCACAACTTCACCACTAATCTCCTTCGCCATCACTACCACCACCACCACCACCACCACCATCAATATCAACTAATAAAAATTAAATTTGGCAACACAACAAATAAAATAAAATCAACTAGAGTAAAGTCCCAATTTCACTCATTTTTTTATCTTCCTGTCTCTCTCTCTCTCTCTCGCTAATCTCTCTTCTCTTTCTCTTTTTTTCTCTCTCTCACTCATCACTCTTTGTTTTTCTGTCTGTGTCTATCTTTCTCTCTCTCCCACACTGTGCTCGTGTTGCTCACTCTCTCCCTCTTTTCTTCTCGATTTAACGATCTCCCACTCGATTTATCGATCTCTTTTTTTTTCTCTCTCTCTCTCTTTCTCTCTCTCTCTCACATTTCAATCGCTTATCTCTCATTTCTCTTAATCACTTGACGAAAGAGAAAAAAGTCAAAAAAATGAAATGGGCCTCTCTCTATCTGTTTCTCGCTCATTTCTCTTCTCTCTCCCTCTTTATCTCTCATCTTTCTCTCTCTCTCTCTCACTCATCACTCTTCTCTCTGGCTCTCTTATCTCTCTCCGCTCTCTATCTCTTGCTCATCTTTCTTCTCTCTCTCTATCTCTTGTTCATCTCTTTTTGTTCTCTCTCTCTCTCTCTCTCTCTGTGTCTATCTCTCCCTCATCTTGTTTCTCTTTTTTTTTTCCTCTTTCTCTCTCTCTGTCTGTCTCTCTCTCTCTCACTCATCACTCTTCTCTCTGGTTCTCTAATTTCTCTTGCTTATCTTTATTCTCCCTATCATTCTCTCTATATCTCTTGTTCATCTCTTTTTGCTGTGTCTCTCTCTATCTTTCTTTCGCTCATCTTGTTTCTCCCTCTCTCTCTTTTCTTTCTCTCTGTCTCTCTCTCTCTCACTCATCTCTCTTCTCTCTTAATCGTTTATTTCTCTCAATCACACTCATCTCTTTCTCTGAGCCCATTATTGTTAAAAGAGGAAAAAGTCAAAAAACGAAATGGGTCTCTCCCTTTCTCTGTCTCTCGTTCATCTCTTTTCTCTCTCTCTTTCACTCATCTCTCTTCTCTATCTCTCACACTCATCTCTCTTCTCTATCTCTCTCATCTCTTTTCAAATATTTTTTTTCAATTATTTTTTTTTTCAATTAATTTTTTTTTTCAATTATAATGTGTATGATCCCATCGTCATAAATAATAAAAAAATAAATATAAATATTTTAAGCCTAGACAAACATGTTTTTTAGTTTATGTTTTTAAATTTTTTTAAACAATTTGTTCAAACCAAACGCGTTTGTAATTTATGTTTTTCTAAAAATAAACAAAAACCAATTTATAAAATTTTTGTAAACATAAACCAAAAACATAAACATTACTAAACGCTACCTTAAACTTTCATTTGTGATGGTTATACTTGATGTCGCAAAAAAAAAAAAAGTTGCAAAAAAAAAAAAAAAAACTCAAAATTTGATTGGCGCTCATTTTTCCCCACTCAACCAAAAATCCCCAAATCTCAAATCCCTAATCTTTTGAAGCACAAAAATCCCTATCTCTCTCTCTCTTGCGACTGTGAGCAAGGCAGACGACGACGTCGAGCGATATCATCGATCAATCCTTCTTGTATCTCTCTTTCTCTTTCTCTCTCTTCCTCCCTGTATCTCTCTCGACGATATCATCGATCAATCCTTTGCGGTAAGTGCTCATCATCGCTTCACCTCTGTTTGATTCATTTTATTATATTTCTAGATCTTTCGCAGTAAGAGTTCATTGATCGATTCACCCTACGGATGTCAATTTCCACATGCAGGCCATTAATCCTAACCCTAAGAATGTTCATCCTTCAAATCCACTCCATCGACACGTGTCGCCCCTTCTCCTCCTCCGCCACCAGCAGCAGCTCCGCCGCAAAGCCTAGCAACCACCTCTTCAGCAGCCAATCCCCCTCCTCCACCACATCTCTCACGAGCCCTAGTGTAACAACCCTCATTTTGACTTAGTCATACTTGCATACATTTATGGATGATCTTGTTTTAATATGTGCATTTGCAAATCTTGTCTTGTTTTGCTGGAATGATTGCTTGCACGCTTTGTTCCTGTCTGGTGTGTTGCCGAGGTCATCTTAAGCCTAGACACCTTCGAAACCTTTGTCACTTAGAACTATCTTGGAACTCCGTTGGTTGACATCCATCTTCACCCTGGCGTATTGGCCGAGATGTCACCATCTAGGCTGAGGTGCGGGTCGCCTAGGCCGAGATGTACATCATTTGGGCCGAGATGTTAATATCTAGACGTTCTAGATCCTTGATCCTTGCATGAGTGATTTTGTTCCTAGAATGGTATGACCTAGACCGAGGTGTGGCACATCTAGGCCAAGGTGCAGCACAGCTTAGTCAAGTGTTGTCCTTCCAAGCCGATGTCATTGTTACCCTGCTTGCCAAAGCTTTGCCTTAGCCGAGATCATCACTTATCGGAGTCTTGTTGTTAGCCGATGCCGTTACTTGCCGGTGTGTTCTTGCCGCCTAGCTTGTCGAGTACACTTTGTCTTGGTCTTGTCTTGTTATGTCAGTCACCTTTTTGGATAGTGCCAATCAGCCGATGCCACGTGTCCCGACATAGGGATTAAGTCAGTGATTGTCGTGAGAAACATATCATTTTGTATCAAGTCTTGCCTTTTAGAGAGAGAAACTCAAGGAAGAAGAAGGAGAAGTTTAAGCTAGAGAGAGTGAACTTCCAAGCTTGATCGTTGGAGCTTGAACCGTTAGATTCGAGTTTTGAGGTTAGAATCATAACCTATTCTTGTTGTTCTCATTGATCATCTGGATGCATTGCACGATCAAACCTGTTCCACACGCCATTCATCGATTTAAAGTTGGTTTTAGAAAGAGAAAATGGTTTTCATGTGTCTTTGAAGAAAAGCCTCGTTTGATCCAAAAGTTTGCATTAAAGCTCATGTTTTTGTGTTTGTTTTGATAAGATCCTTGAGTGTGGGTGCCCAGGTCCATGTTTTTGAATTCATAGCATGAAGTCTCAGCTGTTGTAATAGCAAGTTTTGATCTTTGCATTCGTCTTCCGCATGTTCATGTTCTTCAAGTTCTTCATGTTCATGTTCTTCATGTTTATCAAGAGGGAAACCCAGATTTTTCCTGACTTCACTTTTGAATGTGGCCATCGAGGCTACACCTCGGCAAGGAGGTGTGGGACCTCGGCCTAGACCTGGTAGCTGCCCAGCGTGTTTTTCCAAGGATAAGAAATTGTGTTTCAACTTGATTGACTTAGTTTTTGAAGAATACCGAGGTTATTTGCATGTAAGCTAGACTTGTTTTGAGTAGTGCATTCAATAGACTTTGCCATGTGTTGTTGGACTTGGACTTGCCTTGACTCCGACGTTTGAAGAACTAGGTGAGTGGTATTTTTAATAAAAGGAAGAAGAAGGGGAAGTTTGAGCTAGAGAGAGTGAACTTCCAAGCTTGATCGTTGGAGCTTGAACCATTAGATTCGAGTTTTTAGGACTTGGACTTGCCTTGACCCCGACATTCGAAGATCTATGTGAGTGGTATTTTTAATAAAGCTATGTTATACGTTTTGATAAAGACTTTTTTTTGCTTTGTTTTGAAAGTGTTTGTTGAGCATGAATATTGTCCCTGTTTTGTATATCAAGTATGAGCTTGTCTTGATGACCTTCTCGGAAAGTCTCTTGTGCTGGAGGACTCTAAACTTTCGCAGCACATCTTGTCTTGAAAGTCCCTTGTGCTGGAGGACTCTAAACTTTTGCAGCACTCTCGTGTTAAAAGGCTACAGGCCTTTGTAACATAGGTCCCTTATGCTGGAGGACTCTAAACTTTTGTAGCACCCTTGTTTGAGATGCCCTCTTGCTTTGTCTTGTTTTGCCATGGACGGTTTACCGCGTGGATACGTTTGCCGGAATGTTATTATTCGTAATATGTGATGCTAGTAATTATCCCTTGAAGCTTTGAAGATCTGTTAGATGGATGAGGTCCATTCCTTGTTATATATAAAGTTTTGTTTTGTATTGTTTTGAAAGGACTTCGGCTATTATTCATGCAAACCCCTTTATTATTTATACCATTCACTGAGTATCCAAGCTCACCCTCTCTATATATATGTAGGTGATGAACAAGAGGGCGGTGACGCCTAGATGTGATTCTGGAGCTTATTTTGGGTTTTTGATTATGTCGGATTAACCTGTAATTACGTCGGCAGTCTTGAAAATTATGCTTCTCGATTTGTAATACTTGTATGTTGCATACGTCGGCTTGAGAAGCCTTCTGATCAAGATGTGTGTTTTGTATACATGTTATGTCGGTAGTGAGGGTGTCGGCAATCCTGAAGATTTTGCTTCTAGCAGTATTTCATGTATTTTGTTCATGTCGGCTTGTGAAGCCCTTTTGTTAATATGAAGGATGTAATTTGTACTTTGCTTCGTTTGTAATTGAGTTGTAACCCATATGCTGATGATTGCTATTTCATTTAACTTATGCACCGCTCCTATGGACTAATCTGTTTGTATAAATCGCTTCCGTACTTGTTAGCCCCATATAATTATACTCTGATGGTGTGTGGATTTTGGAAGTTGGCCTTGGTAATCTCGGATTACTGGCCATCATAGCACCAAACTACTAGGGGCGGTTTGGGGTCGTGACACCTAGTCATCTCTCTCTCTCTCTCTCTCTCTCTCTCTCTCTCTCTCTCTCTCTCGCTCTACGTATATATATGTATATACTAGCAATGGTAGCAGTTATTTTTTAAAGCAGTTAACAATATTGAGCATTTTTTGGGAGAAAAAATAAGTTACAAACCTTCAAACCCTTATGAGTTGTACGTATTATATAGTAGTGTATATATTAGTTAGATTTAAAAGGTTTAATGCTATCTTTTACTAGTATTTTTAATTTGAGATTTTTATGCTTGATTTGTTTGGCTGAGGTCTGTCATATATATTTTGCTCAATCATCGGAGAGCTATGAGTTGGCAGAAGAAGCTTGTTCACCTCTGACTGGCTTCGTTGAATTGCCTACTTGCCATGTTTGTCTTGGTTAGTATATATAAATTTATAATTGCTAGTTTGTTTAGTAGTGATTTGTGCATTCTTGATGGTGCATTTGGGGTTTACTTTGATTTTGGGGGTTAAAAAACTGGTGAGTTGTAGTTTTTGATGTGTCCCCGGAGTGAGGATTACTTGTATTCAGTATGTCCTTAAAATTTTCAATGGCATTCTATTCTAGCATTTGGACACTTTCCATTAATTTTGTTAAAATCTGGTAGGTTCTTAAATTTCTCAATGACATTCTTTAGTGACATTTGGCCACTGCCCACAAATTTTGGTCTATTTTTCAAGGTATTCCAGATGCAGCAGAAGTTGCAGTGCCAGTGGCTCATTTGCTTGCAAATCAGGCAACTCCTGAGGGGGTTGAAACACGTGCAGCAGTAGCTGCATCCATCTTTGGAGCACCTAATTCATCTCCATTGAATTTGTTTCCTCAGGTCCAGCATTCTTATAATTGAGTTTAACCTGCATTTCTTTTCCTTCTATATCTTTCTTATATTGTTTAAACTGAAATATCATGAAACAATTTCTGGTGGTGATGGTAGTGGTGGACTTGGTCCCCTTGATTTCCTTAGAAACAGCCAACAGGTTCGGTTCGGTTCCTATTTTATTATTTGATGCCATTCCTAGAGTTAAGAATCTTGTAATGATAGGAGTCTGGTCTTAAATTTTTGTTTTGTGAATAGTTAAGTAGTTTTGTAGTGAATTACTATGAGATGAGATGAAACTAGATCATATAGATTTGTATTATTGCTATTATTGGTATAAGCCTGTTGAAGGTTCTGAAGAGTGAGTATTTGTGGGCATCGTTGTACTAAATTATTATTTTTTCTTTTCATATTTCTCATTCATTTTCTCTTCATTCCATAAATACCTCTCTAAATTCAAAAGCTTAACAGATCATTAGTGAATTGCACTTGCTACTTGGAATCCAATTATTTTCAAATATTTCACAGTAACGTCTCTTGAAGAACATTAGGTCATGTGAATTTTAAATTGAATTTGCTTAGTTCAAGTGGTTGTACTCTTAGGTTTTTATGGAGAAATTTGGAGGTTGAGTACTAACTTAACATACTAACATGTTAACATTCTACCAGAAGACAAACAAAAAAAAGAAGAAAACATTAGATTCTTGCAGTGTTTTCATACAATCAAGTACTTTGGTTTCTAATAATTTTTCCACCTAGGTGAGGGTTCAAAGCATGAGAATCAAATCAAGAGAGTTTGGGGGTTAGAACAACGGTGGAGTGGAATGGATTGAATCAATTCTAAAACATGACAAAAGGTTGACATAAATGCTCATTTAAGAATTATTAGAAAGTTAGGTGGATGCTCTCTGGTGAAAACCAACCATGAATAAATTGCTCTGCAAGTTTGAAATCATTTTAGGTTTATTGAAAACAACAAAATTATGGAAATGGTTGTAAAGTGTTGATGACACTGGAAATAAATAATAATAATAATAATAAAGCCTGTTGAAGGTTCTGAAGAGTGAGTATTTGTGGGCATCGTTGTACTAAATTATTATTTTTTCTTTTCATATTTCTCATTCATTTTCTCTTCATTCCATAAATACCTCTCTAAACTCAAAAGCTTAACAGATCATTAGTGAATTGCACTTGCTACTTGGAATCCAATTATTTTCAAATATTTCACAGTAGCGTCTCTTGAAGAACATTAGGTCATGTGAATTTTAAATTGAATTTGCTTAGTTCAAGTGGTTGTACTCTTAGGTTTTTATGGAGAAATTTGGAGGTTGAGTACTAACTTGTTAACATTCTACCAGAAGACAAACAAAAAAAAGAAGAAAACATTAGATTCTTGCAGTGTTTTCATACAATCAAGTACTTTGGTTTCTAATAATTTTTCCACCTAGGTGAGGGTTCAAAGCATGAGAATCAAATCAAGAGAGTTTGGGGGTCAGAACAACGGTGGAGTGGAATGGATTGAATCAATTCTAAAACATGACAAAAGGTTGACATATATGCTCACATTAGAATTATCAGAAAGTTAGGTGGATGCTCTCTGGTGAAAACCAACCATGAATAAATTGCTCTGCAAGTTTGAAATCATTTTAGGTTTATTGAAAACAACAAAATATGGAAATGGTTGTGAAGTGTTGATGACACTGGAAATAAATAAATAAATAAATAAATAAATAAATAATAATAGTCAAGGTTACATGCGCATATACATATATATATATATAATATTAATATAGGATTTGGTTAAGAAATGTTATGGTGGTATGGATAAAATTGGGTATTGAAGTGTTTGTTAATTGACAAAAAATCATAAAAGTATGATTTAATTTCGTTTCTAAAAATATTTGTTGATTTAGAAAGTTATTGGATGTTCAAATGATGTAGTTAAAATGTGTGTTAAGTATGAAAATAAGATCCAATTATGTCTATTCCTTTCCTTCTCTCTCTTGTCAAGGGCTTTGCCGCAATTGCCTATTTAGGAGTGTTTCAAACTGCACAATTTCGCTGTAACACCTAACACTAGTGCACTCTTAGCTTTTCTATTGAAGGTGCTCTTAAGATGTAAGAAGAAAAAAATTAGAAATGGATTTTGCTAGTAATAAATGCTCTTAGTGAATAAGTAAAAGATAAAAAAAAATTAAAAATCACAAAACATTTTTATTAAAAATAATATTTTTAAAAATATTTTTAAATATTTTAAAGACATTTTTATATAATTTTTAATGTTAAACAATATATAAGAATCACTTCTAGCATTTGCCATAAAGTTTTATTATTATGGTGTTGGGAAATGTGTACAAGTTTTTTGAAGTTAATCATAATGACTCATTGAGGTGCTTAAAGTATGCCATGATATCATTGTGATAATGTTAGAAACTTACATATTTAATTTATAAATTTATTTATAATAATGTGTTAAGTAAATTGAGTCCCCCTATAACAAATCAAAAGTTCTGTTTAGATATTTGTTGATAACCAATTGGTAACTTAGAATTCGAGGCGTTGAAGCCTCAAAATCACCAAACGGCGTCGGAGTAGCATGAAACTTGGCACACACGACCGCCTAGGCATGAGAGACTTGTGGGAGAAGACGAGACTCGAATCAGATTCCCGATTTGGGAGTTAGAGCCGGATTTCATTTTACACAAATTAGTTTATTAAGAAACTTAGAATTCGAGGTGTTGATGTCCCATAATCACCAAACGGCATCAGAGTAGCACGAAACTTGGCACACACAACCGCCTAGGCATGAGAGACTTGTGGGAGAAAATGAGACTCGAATCGGGTTCTCGGTTTGAGAATTAGAGTTGGATTTCATGCTAGGCAAACTAGTTCTTTAAGAAATTTAGAATTCAAGGTGTTGATGTCCCAAAATCACCAAACGGCGTCGGAGTAGCACAAAACTTGGCACACACTACCGCCTAAGCATGAGAGACTTGTGGGAGAAAACAGGACTCAAATCGGGTTCTTGGTTTGGGAGTTAGAGCCCAATTTCACTATAAACAAACTAGTTGAAACCTAGAATTTGAGGTGTTGACGTCCAAAAATCACCAAACGGTGTCGGAGTAGCATGAAACTTGGCACACACGACTACCTAGGCACGAGAGACTTGTGGGAGAAGACAAGACTTGAATCGGGTTCCCGGTTTGGGAGTTAGAGCCGGATTTCACTTTAGACAAACTAATTTTTTGAGAAGCTTCGAATTTGAGGTGTTAACGCTCCAAAATCACCAAACGGCGTCAGAGCAGCACGAAATTTGGCACACATGACCACCTAGGCATGAGAGACTTATGGGAGAAGACAGGACTCGAATCGGATTCCCAGTTTGGGAGTTAGAGCCGGATTTTACTCTAGACAAACTAGTTTCTTAAAAAAACTTAGAATTCGAGGTGTTGACACCCAAAAATCACCAAACGGCGTCGGAATAGCATGAAAATTGGCACACACGACCCCCTAGGCACGAGAGAGTTGTGGGAGAAGATGGAAATCGAATCGGGTTCCCGGTTTGGGAGTTAGAGCTCGATTTCACTTTAGACAAACTAGTTTCTTAAGAAATTTAGAATTCGAGGTGTTAACGCCCCCAAAATCACCAAACGACGTTGGAGTAGGACGAAACTTGGCACACATGACCGCCTAGGCACAAGAGACTTGTGAGAGAAGATAGGACTCGAATCGGGATTCCCGATTTGGAAGTTAGAGCCGGATTTCACTATAGGCAAACCAGTTCTTTAAAAAACTTAGAATTCGAGGTATTAACGCCCTAAAATCACCAAATGGCGTTAGATTAGCACGAAACTTGGCACACACGACCGCCTTGGCACGAGAGACTTATGGGAGAAGATGGGACTCGAATCGAGTTCTCGATTTGAGAGTTAGAGCCGGATTTCACTATAAGCAAACTAGTTCTTTAAAAAACTTAGAATTCGAGATGTTAACGCCCCAAAATCACCAAACGGCGTCGAATTAGCATGAAACTTGGCACACACGACCGCCTTGGCACGAGAGACTTGTGGGAGAAGACGGGACTCGAATCGGGTTCCCGGTTTGGGAGTTAGAGGCGGATTTCATTCTAGGCAAACTAGTTCTTTAAAAAACTCAGAATTTGAGGTATTGACACCCCAAAATCACCAAACGGTGTCAGATTAGCACGAAACTTGGCACACACGACCGCTTTGGCACGTGAGACTTGTGTGAGAATACAGGACTCGAATCGGGTTCCCGATTTGTGTGTTAGAGCCGGATTTCACTATAGGCAAACTAGTTCTTTAAAAAACTTAGAATTCGAGGTGTTAACGCCCCAAAATCACCAAACGGCATCAGATTAACACGAAACTTGGCACACACGACCGCCTTGGCACGTGAGACTTGTGGGAGAAGACGGGACTCGCATCGGGTTTCCGGTTTGGGAGTCAGAGCCGGATTTCACTTTAGGTAAACTAGTTCTTTAAAAAACTTAGAATTCGAGGTGTTAACGCCCCAAAATCACCAAATGGCATCAGATTAGCACGAAACTTGGCACACACGACCGCCTTGGCACGAGAGACTTGTAGGAGAAGACAGGACTCGAATCAGGTTCTTGGTTTGGGAGTTAGAGCCGGATTTCGCTCTTAAGAAACAAACTAGTTTCTTAAGAAACTTAGAATTTGAGGTGTTAATGCCACAAAATCACCAAATGGCATCGGATTAGCACGAAACTTGGCATACACGACCGCCTTGGCACGAGAGACTTGTGGGAGAAGACGGGACTCGAATCGAGTTCCCGATTTGGGAGTTAGAGTTAGATTTCACTATAGTCAAACTAGTTCTTTAAAAAACTTAGAATTCAAGGTGTTAACGTCCCAAAATCACCAAATGGCGCTGGATTAGCACGAAACTTGGCACACACGACCGCCTTGACATGAGAGACTTGTGGGAGAAGACATGACTTTAATCGGGTTCCCGATTTGGGAGTTAGAACCAGATTTCACTCTAGGCAAACTAGTTCTTTAAAAAACTTAGAATTTGAGGTGTTGACACCCCAAAATCACCAAACAGCGTCGGATTAGCATGAAACTTGGCACACACGACCGCTTTGGTGCGTGAGACTTGTGGGAGAATACGAGACTCGAATCGGGTTCCCGGTTTGGGAGTTAGAGCCGGATTTCACTTTAGGCAAACTAGTTCTTTAAAAAACTTAGAATTCAAGGTGTTAACGCCCCAAAATCACCGAACGGCGTCGAATTAGCACAAAACTTGGCACACACGACCGCCTTGGCACGAGAGACTTGTGGGAGAAGACGGGACTAAAATCGGGTTCCCGGTTTGGGAGTTAGAGTCAGATTTCAGTCTTGGCACAATTATTTACTTAATTATCCTTCTAATTGTTTAGTAGTTAAATGTTTATGTTTTTTTTTTTTGTAATTAATATATTAACACATAATTATATTGTCATTAATTATTTTTATTTTTTTTCCAGATATTTCTGGAGTAGGAGTTTGCTTCTTGTGGATTTCATGCCTGTGAAGAATGCCACTAATTTTTGTTTTTGTACCACGGAGAATGTTGAGAAAAACTTTTAATTTTGATTTTTGTTATTTTGAATTATGAATAACATTATGTATTTAAATATTATATATGTATTATGGAACATTATGTACTGGGTTAATTTTGTTGATGTATAGTTATGAATGCAAGAATATGTTTATTATGGAGAAATTATTATTTCTATACAGGAATTTTTATATTATTATGCAATTATTGATTTAATACAGGTAATTTTAATATTTTTAATTTTTTTACAACAGTTTTTTTTTTTTTTTTTTTTTTGGCGACGGCACCAAACCATCTAAAAAAACAAGTATTTTATATTTTTTAATAAATATTACATTTTTTGCGACGGCACCACACCGTCGCAAAAAATCAGAAACCTTTTTTGCGACAAAATCAATGCCGTCGCAAAAAGAAATATGCCGTCTCAAGAAAAGAACAATTTGCAACGGCAATTTCTACCGTCTCAAATAATACTTTTGGCGATTGTAAAACAGTGTCGTCGCAAAAATGTCTCTATTTTTACACATTATTGGCGACAGTAAAATACCGTCGCAAATAGTAACATATGCCGTCGCAAAAAAAAAGGCGACAACATGATTGTCGTCGCTAAAAAGTTTTTGCAATGCCCTCTATTGTGATCCCCCGTTTGTCGTCGCTAAAAGTCATTTGTTGTCGTTAAAAGTTTTTTGAGACGATATAATGAGCATTTGTGACGGCATTTTGCCGTTGCAAAAAGTCGAAATTTTTGTAGTGTTCCCCCAATTTCTTCATCGAACTGAAGGCTATTATTGGGCCCGTGGGAGCTCATAACGAGTCTCGTTTCGATAATCCGAACAGTATATGTGTAGAACTCGTCGAGTACTATATGTTATACAAAATCACATTGATCGGATATTGATAGCTATGTAATCAAATCAGTTTTGTATAATAAAAAAGGACAGTGAAAAATAAACGGCTAACAAAAATTTGATTTGATCACATATAGCTATCGATATCCAATCAACGTGATTTTTAATAGGCATATAGTACTCGACGAGTTCTACACATGGTTCAAATTATTGAAGCAAGACCCGTGATAGGCCTGTACGGGCCCAACAGTACCCTCCAGTTCGCTGAAGGACTGGAGGAAAGCCATTTCCTTTCATCAATCATGACACTCTTGGAGCAATGGTGCAGGACCAACTAATAACTTCTCGAAAGAATGACTTAAGGTAGGGCTGCAAACGAGCTGAGTTTTGTTGAGGTTGAGCTTAGCTCGTTTACTTATCGAGCTCGTTTACTTATCGAGCTCGTTTATTGAGCTCAAGCTTGGCTCAATAAATAACTGGGCTCGAGTTCGGCTCGGCTCGTTAATATTAATGAAACTTGAGTTCGGCTCGGCTTGATAAGATTTTTTTAATATTATTTATATTATTTAAATAAAAAATATTATTTTTTATAATTTAAATAAAAATAAATGAGCGGAGTTTATTCGAACTCGAGTTCGATTCATTTACTAAATGAGTCTATTATTCAAGTTCGAGCTTGGCTCGCTTACTAAACAAGTCGAACTAAGTTTGTTTGTGAACAGTTCGACTCATTTGCAATCCTAATTTTAGAAAATCAATTTTAGACTTTTTTTTGACCAAAATTTACAAAAAAAAAAACAAAATAGGCTAAAATAATTAATAAAACAAAATGTCACATTAAACAGATAATCATTTCATTTTTTCTATTACAAATATTGTATCTAACTATAAAAAAAATTGAATCCGCTTTTCAAATATAAATATTTTAACCTATTAAAATAATCCAAAATTAAAATAAAACTTCCCCTAACGAGGCCACAGAATTGACAGCGAATGGGACTGTTCTCTCCCACCTGATCCAACCATATAATTATAAGCTAACTTAGTAACTTTTTGGCTATTTGACTAAAATATGAGTTAAAAAAACTAATATATTTGAGATGACTTTTTGGCTTTTTACGAAAAAATGTGCAAAAAGTAGAGAGAAAAGAGAATCTTTGACTTTTTGGTATGAGTTGTTGGTTTTTTGATTTTTTTAGTGACTTTTTGACTTTTTGGCTAAAAAAGCCACTTGCCAAACGAGGCCTAAGTGTTTGGGAAGAGCCTTTTTAGGATTTTTAAATTCTCATTTTGGGAAGCTAGTAAAAAGTCAGTTTTTAGTTTTTTTAATCAAAAAAGTTAGTTTTTTTACACAAGTCACTATCCAAAAAGCTCGCTTTTTTTGGCTAAAAAAGTCAAAAGTCAACTTTTTACCAATTTCACAAAACACTAAGATGATACTAAAAGATAAAATATATTAAAATAATTAATAAAATAAAATATTAATCAAATTTATAATTAGTTTTTTTTTTTTTTTACAAACATCACGTTCAAATATAAAAAAATTTAACTAACTTTTCAAACATAACTATTTTTAACCTATTAAAATAGTTAAAAATTAAAATAACTTACTAAAATACTCAACTTCCCAAACACCCCCATCCATCTAGGAATTTATTTCAGTGATGTTTTAAAAATTTAAATACAAAATTAAAAAATATATATCTAATTTTATATATTGATGTTTAAAAAAAAGGGTATGGCTTCTGTCCAGTCCGGGATCGGACTAGACCATGCTGTTGGGCCCATGGGGGCTCACCACGGGTCCCGTTTTGATAATCTGAACCGTTCAATATGTAGAAATCGTCGAATATTATATGCCTGTAAAAAATCACGTTGATCGGATATCGATAACTATGTGATCAAAACAGTTTTTGTCAATCGTTAATTTGTTCACCGTCCATTTTTTTTGATACAAAACTGATTTGATCATATACCTATCGATATCCGATCAACGTGATTTTTTACAGATATATAGTACTCGACGAGTTCTACACATTGAACGGTTTAAATTATCAAAACGGGACCCGTGGTGGGCCCTATGGGCCCAACAGTACGGTCCAGTCCGATCCCAAATTGGACAGAAGCCATACCCTAAAAAGAATATCACTGATTTGAAAATATTTTTTTAGCTATGCACTGAAAAGTAATTTCCTCATCTAAGTAATACCACTAAACATCCAACAGTTACGTCGAGCCTGAAATCAATGTTCTTGTGCTCTACATTAATAATTACTCGTCTAAATTATAAAAATTAATTATTTTTATTTTAAAATGTTGAAAGATATTATAAAATAAACAAATGTTAACAAGTATCCCTTACGCATTGTTTAATGTTCAGTTTAGTGTAAAAAATATTTTGAAACTGATAAAAAAAAAAAGTTCAAAATGTATTTTAAAATGATTTAAAAGTGTTATAAAATTAATAAAAAGTGTATTGAGTTATATACTTATTTTGTCTTTTTCTTGTGACCCTAAGACACTTATTAGTAAGATACGGTCGTACTACATGTACTAATTAGTATATTAATTAGTGTACCAATATATGTTATGACATTATTTTTGACTCTTCTCATTATACAAATTACAAATATTCAAAGCCTATAAAATTATGTCACATTATTTGTTAATATACTAATTGATATACCAATTTGTGCATATAGCATTATTTTATAAAATATGTTAATTAATAAATAGTATTACTTCAAAAGTATAAAATAATTTTACCATTTTGAGACAATTTAATCTTGTATCAACCTGAGTGAAACTTGTTCTATGTGAATGCCATTTTTTTTTTAAAGTTACAAATTAGCAAAATTCACATAATTTTTTTTTTCTAAATATAATATTTCATAAATTTTAATTGAATTATTTATATGTTTAACTATGAGTATATTTACAATTATATTTTTATAAAAAAATATTGTGATACATATAACACAAAAAGATATTCTAGTACGTTATACTATAAAAATGGAACTTAAATATTTTTGTATGGTTCTTTGTAATTTTATTTTAAAAAAGTATGTTGCAATGTATAAAATGTTGAAAAATAATACTCACACAATTATGCTGTAAATGTAATTTAGATAAATATATGTGATAATTTTATTTATATAATTTAAACATTAATGGTCATTAATTGATAAACTTTTAACCATTTGCTATGTTATAATATACTATGATATTTCAATATTAAAAAAAAAAATCTAATGTCATATGAAGTTAGCATATATTATTTAAATTATACTTTTATAACACATACTTTTATTTCAAACTATACATATATCCAATATAATTTCTATTTGACTTCTTAAAATAATATTGTATTTATATACATATAGGCATACATATAAATAATCAATTAAAATTTATAAACTATCTCCAAAAAAAAAATTAAAATTAAAATTACTTAATCATGAATTTATTCTCGTTTGAGAATTGATTATTTTAATAATTTTTTATAAAAAAATATATAAAAAATTAGAGAGAAAAATGTGACAATTTATAAACACTTTCAAAATTTTTGACTAAAATATGTAGAGCATAAACCACATGCCACGCTACGATAACATCATCCAAGTAATCATCTCCAATTCTCCCCTTCCAGTTATGAGTAATTTACCTAGAATTTATACATGATTTTCTTGGAAATAATTGAACTCTGTTTTGGTTTTCCTCAAGAAAATGTGGGTAGTGAAAAGGAGTATCAGAAACTTGTGCCACTCAGTCACAGGTTTCTTTAGCAGCGGAGACCACATGCCTTGGTGCGATCCCAACACCATTGCCGTAAGCATCTAGCTATCTATCTATCTCCCTTTTCATTTTAATTGCCCCCTGTTTGGTTCCTGAGAAAATGCGGCATGTAAGAAAGTGTATATTATTATATACTGCTTTGAGGTTTTTGGGTTTCTTGACTTTTTAATTTTTCTTAAAATCAGGAACTGTTTTGTGACTAGTTTTGATGGACACGATTCATGTGCATATGTTATTACTAGTGGTGAGTGCAAACGCATGTGTTTGCAATTTTAAATATACTAGGAAGGTAAGCCCCACAGAACTTATAAAGGGGTCTCGAAAAACAAGTAATTTTTGCTGGGCCTTTATCCTTTTTTTAGGTTCATTAGGATTCTTATTAGTTGGAACTTCCAGTTATTCTCAACAACGTCTTTGTCATTTGATCCAATAGCCTTCCGTTAGATAGGAAGAGATTTGATAAA